GGACAATGGATAAACCACTTTCGAATATTGGAAGAAAGGATGACAGGACGGCTGTCACATTTAACGGCGTAACTGTGACAGATTTGAAGAGGTGTGTTATAACAACCGAGCACATTGCTTGGTATTTTTTACATTGAGCAACCCGAGGGTGGCAAGGCGAAAATGAGAGATTATAGGATGTACCACCACAAATTCGGAAGGAGGGCGTCCCAGATGCCATAAAAATGTTAAGTCGTCCAAAGCGTTGGACCCGGATAGAATATCTATGATTATACATAAGCAGATGTATAAACCCGGAATTGAGTACTTAGCATCGGCCCTAAACTTGTCGTTATCCACCCACATAGTTCCTGAAGACTGGAAAATAAACAGTGTAGTCCCGCTACTGAAGCTTGGCAGGGATGCCAGCATGGGTGAATCATACAGGCCTGTCGCCAGTAGCAAAGACAGCACAACAACAGCATTACTCGCCAATTCCACACACATTATCATAAGACTTAACCAAAAAAGGCCGTGCAACCGAACAGTTATGGTGGCACTTGACCTATTGAAGGTCTTCGATACCGCCAACCTTGCCAAGCTGTTCGATGAAATAGAAAAGACAAATATTCGACCGTGTTTGAAACGTTGATAATCAACTATGTTTGTGGAAGCCAGACGTATGTTGAATTCAGAAACAGGAAGTCCAAACCCCGTAGGGTGGAACAGGGTGTACCCAAAGGAGGGGTCATATCTCCGTAATTGTTTAACCTCTCTGAAATTATACAACCACCGGACAGAATAGAGATCGTAAAGTATGTGGTTGATTGTACGATCATGGCGCCAGGTTCCATTGTTGATGCCAATTTTGAGAATTAAAACTTCTACATAGCTGAAAAGTAGAAACAAGATCCTCAAGTCGCTAGCCGGCAGCACTTAGGGCACTGACAAAGAAACCTTGTCGACTTCTTATAAAGCAATAGGCTTTATTAAATAGGTCAGTGATAAGCTATGCAACACCAGTTTGTTTTGCGAATGTAAGTGATACGCAGTGGAAGAATATCCAAACCTGCCAGAATGCTATCCTGTGATCTGTAACAGGGTATCTTCCCATGACGCCAGTAGATTATCTTCCCGTGGAGACGAAGATCTTATCCGTCCATCGACACAACTATATGTTGTCAATACAGTACTTGATTGGGTTGTATCTCCGTGAACCTTATGGTAACAACTCCCCCGCCCAGACACATTAGGGAAGATCTCCGTGCTGTAGAGAGAGAAAGGTCCAAAGGTATAATCGTGATCAACAATCCTTTCAAGTGGAGCTATATCGTGTGAATACCATAATTGGAGATCACACTTCATCCATCGCAGCAGATGAGAAGCAGCTGCCCCGACATACACGAGTTGTCTTAGTTCAACTAGGATCAGGATGGTGCAACCGCCTGAATTCCTAATGGGCAACAAGAATTGAATTGGTTTGATAACTAACACATGTCCTGCATGTGGACTAAGACCACACGACACGTTGCAGCTTTTCAATTACCCAGCTTTGCCGAACTCCATATGGACACAACCCATTCAAGTTGCAACATTTTTAAATATGGAGATACAGGAGACGACAATCCATAACCCATAATATTATGTATTTTATTGCTATTTTTTAATAGTCATTGGTCTCATATCGAGCAACAACTTGGATTCGTTACGATTTATCACCCGAAATCATATGACTCGATAGAGTTCTGTTATTCCGAAACGAACATGTTGAAAATAACTTATCCGGAAAAGGAACTATCGGCATTTCAATAAAAAGTCCCTTTTCCGAGTTTCCTGCTAGCCGGGAACCATCTGTGTAACAATAGTTGTCTGACGGCATTTGTGTTAGGGTTCCGCTGTCAGATTATCTGGACTTTCTGCAGCCAGCACACTAGCAACGCGTGTTTCAGTATTGGTCTAATAACGCCATTATAGATTCAGTGTATCATCTTTGAATTGAATAGGGTTTCAATTTCGTCATTATCGACAGCTTCTACGATATCTACGCACACAGCTTAAGTATACATTTTCGTATCGAAGGTGTTTCCAATGTGATGTACCACATCATGCGAAGAGGTTTGCCTAGATAATTGAAAAATATCGAAAGGCTTCAGAATAGTGTGTACACCTTAGGCTGTAAATTTTCTTGTTCAATTTTGTCGCGATAATCCAATTTTTACTAATTCATTATTTTTTTATGTGGGGGAAAAATTAGTTGGGCGCCAAGACATGACTCTACGGCATTTGACCCATCAATAACACGTAGAAGAAAAGAAGAACTCATCAAAGTAGTGTCAAACTTTCCACATGAAAGCCGATCTCTTTTTAACTTTCTATCTTATAGAAATATCTTCTTCTTCATCATAATACAAAATCAACAGCAACAATTAAAATCACAATAAAAATCATGTTCTAATTTTGCATTAAGATTTAATTCACAATAAACCTATTTCCTACGTTTAATTTTAGAAATAGAATTTGCACTGAAAGCGGTTTAAGTCGACGCCATCGTCGTTGAAGGTAGTGTTGAAGAACGACAACCAAATATGGACAATCTGTCAAAACTTTCTAATCTTATTTTATTTATTAATTTCATTTTTTTCTTCGTCCAGCACTAGTAATAAGGAATTTAAAACTAAACAAAATTTGTTTTGAATTGATGCTTTAAAGTGGAGCATGGCATAATTAAACAAGGTAGTCTCCTGCAATCATATGTTTCCAATTTTTTCAAAAATTTGCCTTTGACAGTATTCAGCTTTCAAAATTTAAATGAAAATATCTTCCTTCGAAATGTACGTATGTGTTCAAAATATTTTGAAGTTCCCTGCCTCTAAAACTTGTAAATATAAGATGTGACAACAATGGCCAAATCTTGAGAGCAATGTTTAGGTTTAGAAAATATATTTAATTTATTGAAAATATGCCAATCAACATACAGGAAATTTCATGGAATTCATTTTTCATATTATTTAAAATTAATAGATCCAAATTAAAAAGGATTGCAATCATTAAATTCTCAAATAAGACTACCTTCTGTAATTATGCCATGATAGTGGAGAAAGATATGATCAAGGACTTTTAATAAGGTTATCCTGGAAGATCAGCTGATTCTTATGTTTGCTGTCAAAGAACATTATTGTGAATTGATTTGACATTATGTGAACGTAAAGAATGTCAACATTTTTGATATTGAACTTGAAAAATAACAGCTGTTTTACGCTATCTGAGTGATCTTAATCATGGGCTTTGCAGATTTAATAAAGTAGGCGCGTCAGCACAGCTGTAGGTACAATTAAATGTCAAAAATATTGTTGTAATTTGAAACCAAAAAATAAGAACAGAATTATAAGTGAAAATCTCAGAATTTTGAAGATTAACATTTTCAAAAAGAAATTTTGTAATCAAATCTTATTTATCGGTTCTTTTTTTGATGATGTCTCGATTAGGAATGTTTCGATTTTTGCTTCTAATCAAAAAGTCGATTTTGGACTTTTCGATTTTTGCCTTAGACTAAAAAGTCGACTTTTCGATCTTGTCAAAACTGTTCAAAATCGACTTTTACTTATTTCTGCAAAATCGACTAAAAATTTGATTTTTTTATGAATTATTGTGAACAGATACAGTAAAGTTCCGGAAAGTGAAATTTTTGGGCAATTTGAGCTTTGTGATAAAAAACCAAGTATATATGAAGAAAATCGAAAGTCGACTTTTCGATTTTTTCCTAGATGAAAAGTCGACTTCGACTTTTAGACTTTTCAAGAAGTCGATTTACTTATCCCTAGTCTCGATTAACTGTCAAAGTGCGTAATTTCTACTTCAATTCGATGTGCAATGTTGCCAACCATGTGAAATGTTATAAGGAAAAATTTGACAGATGGTTAAGACAAAAACAAAGGTTTTTGTTTTGATACATCACCTTATTATTGCATCATGGTTGTAATGAATTGCTAATGCGGTTACCTTAAAAAATTTAGCTTGGACAAGCTTCATTGAGTTGCATTCCATTCCTATTAAAAAGTTCACCCAGGATGATCAGCTGCAAATCAGCTGATTCCCAAATTTGCTGTCAAAATACATTATTGTGAATTGACTTAATAATAGACCACGGTAACATTGTATTATAAAGGAAATTACCAATTTATAAAGGGAAATAATTTATATTATGCCAACATGGCATGTCATGCTTCAATGTGTGTCCTCCATTTAGATCCTTTTATTTGTACAATACTTTAAGCATCAGTTTGAAAAATATAATTGGGTTTTAAAATATTTTTTCATATATTTTTCTATTTATTGTAAATATTTGAATTTGTATTTTTTTCTTTTGTGCCTCTCTTTCTCTAGCGCATCAGGCGCAAAATTGCAATCACATCCGTAGGGAAACAATTTGAAATAATTATAAATATTTATATATAAATACATATATTACTTATAACGCTACTACTACTATATGTTTAAATGTTCAATGTTATGCTTTGAGTTTGAAAATGTCAATTTATTATTAATAATAATAAAAAATCATTACAATAAATTACGCCAAACAATCAAGCTTTTTATGTGTTTCATGGCAATGACAAATGGAGTTACACAATATTTCTATAACTGTATCTCTCTCTCTTTCTCTGTCTGTGTCTTTTTCTTTCTTTTCTCATTCTTTGTTTTCTCTTTCTCTCGGTCTTTTCACTTCTAACTGCCTGTCTAATTTCATTTATTTTGTTTTCTATCACTTAAATACAACTCTGAAATCCTACTCTGTGGGCTTTATCACCGCTGCCATTGTAAATGATCGCTTTATTATTGGCCACACCAAAAAAAAAATAAAAAATCAACTTGAAATAAATCTTTTTTAAAACCATTTATTTATTTTTCTTCTAATCCCCTTTTTTTCTAAATCAACTAAAATCCCCACTATTTCCCCACCAATACCTCTTTTTCCCCCTTTCTCTCTTTTCTTGTCTTCATTCAACTTGTCTTTCCTCTAGAATTCGAAAATGGTTGGGATAGCATTGAATTAATACCGAACATTATCTTAAATCCTGGTTTCTCCGAAACGGAAGATGGCCAATCACCGCCCATTACAGCCGTTCCCCTGCCCACATTCACCCGCACCATTGTGTTCGGCGACGAAAGCGACAGCTGTGAATCGGAATCGGATCATGAACCGCGCATGGAGAAATTCAAACGTAAGTTATCGGTATTCTTTACAGATCCCACCATCAAACGTATTTGAGAAACGTACAAACCAAAGTCTAGAATATTGAAAATGTTGAATTTCAATTTGTTGTTATTTATTTAGTAAATTGTTAAATTATTTTCTAAAACATATGAAAAAAAAAATAATTTATATTTTGTTTCGAAAAATCGATGTAAAAAATTAACCCAAACCGAAATCCCAACAATAAATTTTAGCATAGATAATAAAAAAAAAATAAAATAAATAAATTATCAAAATGAAATGTGCTTATGGTTAAAATTGTTATAAACAAATATATATAAATACAGATAAATAAAAAAATATATACACACAAGAATATATAAATTATTTAAATTTAAGAATTTGTTATAAAACCAAACGAGCTTTTGTTACAAAATAAAATTGAAAAGAATATATTAAAAAAATGAATAAAAAAATGGGATTTAAGAAAATATATAGAAATATATTAAATTAAGAAAAAGAACTCGCAAGTTAAAGCTTAATGCAAACATTTTTGAAATATATTATTTTGATTCGAATAATAAACACTAATATATTTTTTTCATTTTATAAATTTAAACACATTTTTCTTTTAGATGCCTTTTAAAACATAATACACAGTATCAATTTGATTTGTGATCTATCACGTTCGTCATTCATCAGGATAAAACAGGCGACAGTCCAAACTAATAGTGTGTACTCACCTTATATAGTATATTTTGAGCGCAGATCTCTGATTTTATGTACATTTTATAAACACATTATCGCGTATTCCCCCTGGATATTTTCTTATAAATTATTTTGTTAAAATGCATTTTGTCGAGTCTTTACGGTTTCTATGTCTTTGGCACAATAAACAGGAACTCCATTTAGAACAGCTGACTATCCGATTAACTGTCAAAGTGCATAGTTTCTAACATGGCACATTAAATAGCAGCTAATGACTCGATTGACTGTCAAAGGGCGTAATTTCTACTTGAATTCGATATGCAATGTTGCCAACCATGTGAAATATTATAAGGAACAATTTGACAGTTGGTCAAGACAAAAGGTTTTTGTTTTGATACATCATCTTATTATTGCATCATGGTTTGTACTTGTATCCGACGTGCATTGTTAGACAAAAAAATTATTAGATACAATTTGACAGATGGTCGAATAAAAAAAAAAAAAGATGTTTTTGTTTTGATACATCACCTTAGTCATGATGCAATAATAAGGTGATGTATCAAAACAAAAACCTTTGTTTTTGTCTCGATTATCTGTCAAAATTTTCCATATAATATTTCAAATGGTTGGCAACACTGCACATCGAATTCAAGTATAAATTACCCACTTTGACAGTTAATCAAGACATCAGCTGCGCTAAATGGACTACCTATTCATTGTGCCATGACCTTAGTATTGCATCTTGCTGACAGCAATGCATCAGCACAGCTGAGCCCCGAATTTTTTCCGTAATCATAGAACAATTTTCGGTTCACAGATTTAATGCAACTATCCTATATAGGATATGGGCGAAATTTGACATCGCTATATCCTTGTATTCGGGAGATACAGTACATTCTTTCTGAAAAATAAAAGACCAATATCAAGAAAGTCAAATGCAGATTCGACGAACAAATCATTTTAAATTATTCTCTATATTCTGTTTTACAAGAATCAAAAATAATTCCGATGACAGAATTCGTACATTTCGAATACGAAGCGATTTAAATAATTTGGACTGTATACACAAATTAGAACTGTACACATTTACCAAAAATTTGAAATTTTTAGATTTTTCTTGTGATATGTGTCGTTCATAATAAGGTCTTGACATAGGAAATCCAAAGAATGAATACCTACTAGCTGTATAATAAATATAAGCTCTAAAACATTTTGTTGCCTGTGGGCAACATTGGGCCACAAATGGTTAAAAAATAAACGAATTACAAATGAAAATCTTAGAATTTTGACATGGTACAATTATAAAAGGTAACAGCAAATCCTAGCTGATTTGATTCCAACGTAATACTAGTGTCAATATGAATTTGACAAATTATGTTTTTAAAAATCACCCAACAGGAAAACTGGGAACGTAGACAATTTCAAATTGTTCTTTATTAAATATGCTCCCGTATTCAATTTACTCAATCTGCCTGCTGGGAAAGTTTGAGGAAGCAAATCTTTCTTCATGGAATAACTCGCAATTCCCTGCCTTTTCATATGTGTTACACATACAAGTGACAATGGCTCAATTATAGGAAAGACGTGGAAGCGATAGAAATATAAATTTGATAGATTTTCATTCATGTTTTTCAAATTTTATTTTGAGGATTCGGAAATATTTCATTTTTAAATATAATTTGTTTGTTTACATTTTTCTGTCAAATGACATTGACACTAGTATAACTTACAACAACAAATTTCCATGTGGTTGTTGTATCGTTTGTTGTACAACAACACTTGCTGTTACCTTTTATTATTATACCATGGAATTTTGAGAAGCTTGTTCGGAACTACATTTTTTATCCTTTTCTAAATACAGTTTTTTTTTAAAATCTTATGAATCGTCAGTTTTTACCAAAAAATTTTTGACATATCATTGTACTACAAGTGTTTCATGGCCCACTAAACAGGTCGTATAAAAAACGAATATTATCGGTCATTTAATCCCTCCAAATGTCAAATTTTTTGTTTACGTTTTTACACGATTAATAGTGCGTTTACAACATCTCGGATTACGTTAACCCAGTGGGTTAAAATTGTCAATTCCTTTAAATATATTTCAAATAAATTCTCATAACGAAGGTTAACCCGGAAAAAAGTTCTAATGTAAATGCCGTTTAAGTCAAAATTGAAAGCATTTTGACAGTTCTGGTGAAAACATTTCGATTATTATTAGGCCATGAGTTGTTTGTTCTAATAAATCGCTGATGCGACTGCCTTCTTAAATTTGGAGGGATGCAGTGCTTGCAGGACAATATCAAGGTCTATAAATAAGGTCGTCCAGGTAAACCAGCTGGATATCAGCTGCCTCTTAAGTTTGCTGTCAAAATCCATTATTGTGAATTGACTTCAATTATGGAAACGTAAACAAAGACATTACTTGAGAAAAAACAGCTGACTTTCGCTAGCTGGATGACCTTAAAACACAAAGGCATACTAATAAGAACAACCAGGAAGATCAGATGCAAATCAGATGTTTACAAGTTTGCTGTGAAAATCGATTATTGTGAATTCGCTTTACACTACAAAAATATAAATAACGTTCATATTTTTGACATTAAACCGTTTCGTGCTTCCTTTTTTGAAAGGTCTTGTGAAAATACATTCCTCACTGTCGTATTTAAAGGGGGGAAATGGTGAAAGGTGCGCTCCAACAACTCGGTTAGGTACATAAATCAGACACTTCAACTTGAATTCTGTCCATACATCTAGTACATAAGGTCGAAATTGAAATCTGACACGATTGGCATTCCATCTCTAAACCTGGTATCCCTAGGTCTGGACAACCAAAACACTCTTTAAAATAACTTCAGTTTTTTAAACCATATAAATAAGGTCGCCAAGGGAGACCAGCCGAATATCAGCTGCCTCTTAAGTTTGCTGTCAAAATCCATTATTGTGAATTGATTTCCATTATAATTGTGAATTGATTGACATTAGACTTGAGAGAAAACAACTGACATTCGCTATGGATGAACTTATTAATAGATCTTGGACAATATGAAAATACCAAAGGCATATTAATATAGTCAACAGGAAGATCATATGCAAATCAGCTGTTTTCAAGTTTGCTGTCAAAATCGATTATTGTGAATTAGCTGTACACTACAAAAATATAAATAACGTTCATATTTTTGACATTAAACCGTTGCGTGCTTCCTTTTTTGAAACGCCTTGTGAAAATACATTCCTCTCTGTCGTACTTAAATGGCGAAAGGTGCTCTCCAACAACTCGGTTAAGCACATAATATCTGTTATGATCCCGCATTAAGTGGTCATAGATCAGACACATCAACTTGTATTCTGTCTCGTGTCCATAAATATAGTACATAAGGTCGAAATTGAAATCTGACACGATTGACATTCCATCTCTAAACCAGGGATCCCTAGGTCTGGACAACCAAAACACTCTTTATAATAACTTCAGTTTTTCAAACCCTATAATTAAGGTCGCCCAGGGAGACCGGCTGAATATCAGCTGCTTCTTAAGTTTGCTGTCAAAATGCATTATTGTGAATTGATTTCCTTTATAAAAACCTAAACAAAATTCAATTTTTTGACATTAGACTTAAGAAAAAAAACAGCTGACATTCGCTATGGATGAACATATTAATAGATCTTGGACAATATGAAAATAACAAGGTATATTATTAAGGTCAACCAGGAAGATCATATGCAAATCAGCTGTTTACATGTTTGCTTTCAAAATCGGTTATTGTGAATTGGCTTTAGACTACGAAAATGTAAATAACGCCCATATTTTGACATTAAACTTGAGAAAAACTGCCGTTTCTTGCATTCAATGTCATCCAGGAAGACCTGCTGCATATCAGCTGCTTCTCAATTTTACTGTCAATGTCCTTTATTTTGAATTGACTTCCATTATGAAAATGTAAACAAAGTCCACATTCGCTTGCTGGGTTAAGGTCAACCAGTTGAAACGCCTTTTGAAAATACATTCCTCACTGTGGTATTTAAATGGAAAAAGGACGAAAGATGCGCTCCAACAGCTCTGTCAAGCACATAATATTTATTACTATCCCGCATTAAAATACTTGAACTTGTATTCTGCTTTGGTTTCTGGCATATAAGATCAAAATTGAACTCTGACACGATTGTAATTCAACCTCTAAACCAGGGATCCCTAGGCCTGCACAAACCAACACTCTTCAGTTTTTTAAACCCTCCATCTTAAGGAACACCTCGAAATATCTACAGGAGACCCCACAAAGTATATATATTCATTATCGGAATAAAATTCTATGTCGATTTACGCATGTTCGTTTGTTGAAATCACGATAGAGATCGTTAAGAAATGAATAAAT